TTACACACACACACCCCTCAGCAAACTACTCAGAGAAAAAGGGAAAAACCCGCAGCCTCTTCCTCAGCCTCCGGGCTCGGGCTCCTCCCCAGCTCACTATTTGCTCCCCTCCCTCTGGCTCCACCCTGGAGGGCCCCACCTCACCTTTCTGGTTTCCCAGGAGCCTTGCTCATTCACCACAAGCCCTGGCCACCCTTGGCACCCACTGCGTGCCTTCTTTGGGACGGCTCGCCCAGCACCCACACCTGGTGGCACCTCGGTCTCGCCCTGGGTGCCACCACCAAGCTGGCTGCTGGGAGGAGCCGCGTCAGGGTGTTTGGATGACTGTGGTTGACGGGGTGAGAGCTGTGATTGCCGTCCCAGGAGTGGACCTGGGCCTAAAGAGCCAGGGTCTGCGGGAGTCAGTCACTCAGCAGCCATTTAACTCTGGCCGCAAGGGTGGCCGGGACAGCCCTGGGTTCACAGGCGTGGAGGCTACCGTGCACCTGCTCCGCGTTCACGCCTCACCCGGAAACCACCTCCCCTGGCCTGTTTGCACCCTGACCAAGTTCTCAGGAAAAATAAACATACACAGAGTCCGAAAACAGAGCAGCAAGGAGGGCTGGTCCCTCAGGGAGCTGCCCACCTAGAGTCCGGGGAGGGCAGCACCCAGTGCTGGAAAATAAATGAGGGGACACTGGAGATTTGGAATGAGCCCCGTGCCAGGGAAAACAGAGTGTGATGGAGGCGCCTAGACATCAGGCGAGGAAAACACAGCATGTGGGGGGGGGGCGCAGGTGACGGTGGGTCCCTCCTCTCTGTCCATTAAAGGCATTGCAGTTGGTTCAAAGATGGTGGGTTTGAACCGCCAGCCTTCTGGTAAGCAGTCAAATGCCTTAGGCACTAAGCCACCAGAGCTCCCATGTGAAAAACAGGATGAAAATACCAACTAATGCAGAATGGGAACGTGTGCTACGTTCCTCAAACAGTTAAACACAGAGCCACCGACTCACCAAAGGACACAGCAACTCCACTCCTAGGTCCACACCCAAGAAAAATGACCACACACATCTGCGCACAAACTCGTAACACCTGTCACACGCAGCCTACGTCCCCCTGCTGAAGAAGGAGCAACATCGTGAGTCAGGACACTCTGAGCCCTGATCCCGGTCAGATGCTAAGCCCTGACCCTGGTCACACTCTGACCCCTGTGCCCACACGGGGACTAACCGTGGTCTGGTCACAAAAATGACGAGGTGCTGAGACAGCCCACAACAGGCTGAGCCTTGAACTCGTGACCCTGAGTGAGAGAAGTGAGGCACCAAGGACCACATGGTACATGGTTACAGGCTTATGAAACGCCCAGAGTAGGGAACCCAGAGACGGCTGGGCTGGTGGTTGTTCAGGGCTGAGAGGCGGCGGGAGGAGGGTGCTTTCTGAGGGGATGAAAATGCTCTCAAACTGACCGTGGTGATGGCCAGGACGTGATGTGATTCAGAAACTGTCCACCCACCATACCATGTACAGGTGGGTGGCCCCAGGTCACACATGAGCCCGTTCCCAAGTCTGTCCGTAAGCAGAATTTCTACCTAAGTTGGAACAACGGTGAGGTACAGTTGGTGCCTAACATCAGTCGGTCGAGCGTTTGTCCAGTGTGTGGTATACAGTGCACGCTTCCAGGCATACATATATTAAAGAAACACTTCCAGATTCCCTGGACACTGAACCTACAGCACGGTAACAATGTTTCGATGCACGCTGCAAAGCACGGTCGTCTGCCTCATGAACCACTGTATGCACCTCTAAGGAGCCCTGGTGGGGCAGTGCCTAAGGCTAACCAGAAGGGTGGTGGTTCAAACCCACCAGGAAGACGGGGCAGTCTACTTCCATAAAGATTTACGGCCTCCAAAACCCAACGGGGATCACTGTGTGTCAGAATCGACTCAACGGCAGTGAGTCCGTAAACCTCGAGTTTGTAGGATCACGGGCTTTATTACAGGCACCAGGCTAGACCGCAGATGTACATGCAGTTGGACTTTGCCCAGTGGACGTTACGTGGCCCATGGCTGCAACTACTTTCAAAGGGTACACTGGGAGATTTGTGGATTCTAACTTAAAGCTATTTAAGCAGAAAGAGAAGAAAAAGAGAAAAATACAAGACACAAAGCTAAAATAAGACAAGAAGGAGCAATTTCCCACACGGGTGGAAGGAGAGAGATCCTTTATGGAAAGAGAGAAAGGCCGTAGCGGAGCTGCTACGTGAGTGGACAGTTCAAAAGTCAGAGGAACGGTGTCCTTAAACACCAGAAAGGCTCACTCGCACACAGAGCCGGGGAACAGCGGAGTGCAGCTCAGCTTTTGAAATCTTTCAGCAGGGCAGCCAGTCACGGTGGTGACAAGCCAGTCCAAGCAAGGGGCAAAAGCCAGCCCCTGGTGGGGGTGTGAAACTGGCACTAACTGTCAAACTCTAAGATGCCCCGACTCTGGTCACACCCTGAGCCTAGATCCTGTTTGGATGCTGAGCCCTGACCCCAGTCATACCCTGAACCCTGACCCCAGTCAGATGCTGAGCCCTGACCATGGTCACACCCTGAGCCCCGACCCTGGTCAGATGCTGAGGCCTGACCCCATTCATACCCTGAACCCTGATCTTTGTTCAGTGCTGAGCCCTGATCCTGGTTATACACTAAACTTTGAGCTCTGTCACTGTGTGGTTAATGCCATGTGTCACCTGGGCTAAACTGTGCTTCTCAGTGGTCTGGCAGACACTGCACTGACTGTCCTTCCATCGTGTGATATAACGTACCATCTTCCCTTTTGTGTCTGATGTGAGCAACCAATCAGCTTCCTTGGGGTGGCGGCCTACACCCTAGACACGGACCTTCTGGCAAAGCCTGCTCACCTTCAGTCTTGCATCTGCTCATTGTCTTCTGACCTTGGGGCCCTGGAGGTGAGCCAGCAGCCTGTCATCTGACCTGCAGACTTTGGGATTCACCAGCTCCTGCAGGGCCCAGGAGCCAGTAGCCTGTTGTCCGACCTGCCAATTTTGGGTTTATCAGCTCCGGCAGCTGTGAGAATCAAGAGACACCTCTAGCCTGACACCTGACCCACAGACTTGGGACTTGACAGCCTCTACACTGCACAACCCATTCCTTAGAAATAAATATCCATATATATATTTCACTGGTTTTGCGCTTCTAGAAAACCCAGACTAGGACAGTCACACCAGAGCCCTGACCCTGATGACACTCCGAGCCCTGACCCTTGCCTTGACTAAGTGTGGGAGTAGGGTAGCGAGGAGAGGAAGAGTATGGGCCTCTCGGACCTGAGGCCTCACCAGACAGTACCAGCCCCAGCTGAGCTCTCCAACCTCAAGCAGGCAGCTGTAACTCTGCAGGAAGGTGCTGCCTGGGTCTCCCCAGTGGGGTCCCCTGAAATTCGGGGCTGAGCCGAGTGCCGGGGGCAGGTCATGCATGGGTGGCAGGCACAGGTGGGCCCAGGCCTAAGGCCAGGAAGGTGTCGGGCTGGGCCAGGCAGAGGAACTGGGTCAGACCTAACAAGGATCTGGGTGTGCACAGTGGGCGTCTGATCCAGTTAGTGTCCTGGCATCACCCAGCGTGACAGATCACAGTCAGGGAGGCTCTGGGCTGTGATCTCCCAGCCCAGCCGCTGCCCGACCCTGAGACGCCCGTCAGCTTCTCAGTGCCTCAGCTCCTTCAGCTAAACCTGGGGAGGGGGCTGTCCCAGGGAGATAGGACCTGGGGGGGTCCTTGGCGTGCTGGGGGCAAGGGGACCCTGAGCAGTGTCATGAGTGCTAATGAAGAGCCAACCCCCCCCCCGTCACTAAGGGTGAAGATCGGGTCCCACAGAAGAGCCCTGGGCACTGGGGTGGGGTGGGGCACACTCCTCAAGACAGATGGGATCTCACTGCTGAAAGGCCAGGGGAGGGCAGAGCCCAGCGCAGGAAGGGATGGCATTCGGACCCAGAGAAGGGCGAGCCGGGAAGGTTGACACACAGCCCAGCAGGCAGACTCAGGAAGAGGCTTCTGGCTGGCACTGCCACCCAGGTTTGCTCTGGCGGATGAACTGCGGGGTTTGAGGGAGGGCCACAGACCAGGAACACCTAGGGAGGCTGTGGGGGTGGCGAGCGGGAGCGGGAGCTGCCCTGAGGCATGCACCCAAATTCACCCCCTGCCTCTGCTGTGCGATCCCGGGGCAAGTCACTTCCCCCTATTTCCTCACCGGAAAAATGGGGCCACGTAAGCCCCACCTGAAGGCAGCCCCATGGAAGACTGGAGAGCAGGGTGTCTGGCCGAAGGGTGGGTGCTGCCTCTCCGGGGTTCCCAAGGAGGCCCCTGCCAGGCGGGCTCCCCACACCTCCCTCCCCCTGGCATCTCCCAGTCTCAGTCCAGCTAAGCCTCTAAACAAACACAACAGCTGTGAGTTCAGGCCACAATCCTCCGAGTTAACTTCCTCCAGGGAGCCGGGAGGAGAGGGGCTAGGGTCACCCTGCGAGGACGGGAACCCGCGTCCTGCCCCCAGCCTGGCGGAAGGCTGCCTGACTGGGCCGGGAGACAGGAACCCAGAAGCGCCCCACACACTGTTGTCCCTTCCTGAGCAGTCTGGCCCCCAGGACCACCAGAGGCAGGGGAAGCCAGCCCACCTGTGCCACACAGAGTCCAAGAACCCAGAGTGTGCGGGCAGAGAGACCAGGCAGGGGTCAGGGAGGAAGCTGGGGGGCAAGGAACCCAGAGGGAGGGAAGATCAAGAGGTGGGAGGGGCCCCAGATAGAGTGGGGCAGGAGGGGTGTGGAAAGGAGCGGTGTGGGTGTGTGGAGGGGTCAGGGAGGGTGTGGGAAGGGGGGCAGGAAAGGAGGTGGCCAGTTGGGGCGGGGTCCTGTCCTCCGCCCCCCCAGAAACCTGATCCCGCTAAGCCGCTACGGGACCAGTCCAGCGGCACTAGGCGTCTGCTGAGACCAGAGCTGTGCAGCGTGAGCACAGAGCAGACGCGCGGACTGGGCCATGCAGGGGACACAGCTGGCGTCTCTGGTGCTGGTGCTGGCGGCCTGCGGGGAGCTCGGTGAGAGGGCACAGCCAGCCGTCGGGCCACCCCCACCCACCCATCTCGCGGTTCCACTCATGACTCTCAAGGGAGGGCCCTCTGAGGTGGGGAACAGGCAGAGCTGAGGACAGGAGGAGGGCGGGTGAGCTGGGGAGGAGACCGGGACGGAGAGGAGGCAGCTGTGGAGGGTGGGGGTCCGGGGCGTTCCAGGCGGGAGGGGACCAGCCCCCGGTGAGAGGGGGTGGGGAGGGCCCTGACACCAGCTGGCGGATGACCGTCAGCTGGAGAGGGCAGGTTGTGGGGACTCCGGGGTGAGGAGGTTTGTGGGGCTGCAGGAGGGAGTCTCAGGGGGGCCTGAGAGGCTTGGGGGCCGGAGAGGAGGCCTATTGTGGTGGCCAGTGGCCAGGGTCTGAGAGGACAACAGGGGAGCTGGCCCATCCCCCGGCCTCGAGGCCCCCACACTCGGCCAGAAAACATGCTTAGTCTTGTGCGTCCGACCCAGCTGGCTCTGCCCCTTCTGTGAGGAGGAGACTGGGCTCCCGGGGACAAGCGACGGGTTCCCACCGGGTCACTGAGTTACAGGGCTGGATGCACCGGCACCTGGGCCAGCTGGGAGCTCCTGAGCCTGGGGGGCTGGAGCCCCCCGTGCCCTGCCCTCTCAAGAGGACTGGCCTTTGTTCCGGGGGACACAGCTCAGCATCGGGCCCAGCCTGCACCCCCACCCCACCCCACCCACATACGGTCACCCCTGGCCCCCTGATCCCCACCAAAGCCCTCCAGCCCTGCCGTCTGCTGACGGGGAAACTGAGGGGTGGGCTGCGGGTCTCTTCCCCAGCACCATCCCCAGGCGGCTTCAGGGCCTGACCCTGCTCCCAGCTCAGCGCCTTCCTCTTCCCCAAGTCCGGCCACCACGGGGGCGGCTGGGCCCCTCAGACCTGGGCCTCCCGGGCAGAGCTGAGCCTATGGCCTCCGACTCTCTGAGGGGTAGGAGGGCAGCCTGCTTGAGTCACCCTCAATGTCATGCCCACAGTGATGGCCCTGCAGTGTTACACTTGTGTCGAGCCCACGACTGTGTCCAGCTGCCTCACCGCGGCCAACTGCACGGCCAACGAGACCATGTGCAAAACCACACTCTACTCCCTGGAGACCGGTCAGTGCACGGGGTGGGGTCCCCAGAAACGCCTCTCCACGGCCCGTCACCCAGCCCTTGGTGCGTGAGCACAGTGCTGGTTTACATGTTCTGAAAGAAGATGGTTAGGCACCCCCTCCTCCTTCCCTCCCTCCTGCCACCCCTCCCTCCACGGGACACACCTTCATCTTTGCAATGGGAGCAGAGGAAGAGGCCCATTTTGCAGGCGTGATCTCACTGTCCACAGACCGGGCAGGAGTCTACCCACTCAATGATGCCCTCTGGGCCCTGGCACCACTGGGCACTGAGCAAGGGAGGGGAAGGCGAGGAGAGCAGCCAGGGAGGCACCGTGAGCCCAGGGTGGGTCCTGTCTGGGTGGCTCTGACACACACTCCCTCGCCCACAGTGTACCCATTCCTGGGGGACTCCACGGTGACCAAGTCCTGCAGTAGTAAGTGCCAGCCCTCGGACGTGGATGGCATCGGCCTGACCCGGCCCGTGTCCTGCTGTAACACCGACCTGTGCAACGTGGACAGCGCCCCTGCCCGGGGAGGCCCTGGGGTACTAGCTTGTACCCTCCTGTTGGTCCCCCTCTGCAGCCTCGGACTTTAGGGCCTGGCGAGCTGCCCACCCCACCCACAGTCAGCCTGTGCAACCGGCGAGTGCCTTAAAGGAGTGTGTCCACACACGTGTCCCACTTCTCCTTCCGATCACCGCCCTGCCCACTCTGCCCACTTCGCAGGATTGGGCGTCCACTGCGCCTCGGGCTCCATCTCTCTCCAGTGTGTCTGTCTGTCCCTCAGCCCCACCGCTTGGTGGTCTCTCGCCCAGAGCCCTGAGTCTAGAGAGCTCCCTCCCAGATGGAGGGAGGCAGTAGCTGGGACCTGAGGGTCTGTCCTAGAGCCCCTGAGGACCACAGTGGACACCCCCAGGCTCTAGGAGAGACCTGGCCTAGAAGACCCTCTGAGCCTGGGCCCGGGGACTCCACACCACTGCCACCTGTAGGCAAGACCTGCACAGCACAGGGCTGTCAGCTGGCCAGCTCCCAAGGGCAGGACTTCCGAGTCCAGCGAGCCCTCCACCCAAGCACAGCCTTGTGCCCATCACAGACCCATCACCTGGTGCACAAGCAGCAGTGCCGGCTTGGGAGTCAGGGATGTGAGGGCTGCCCCAGACGCACGCCCCCAGATGAGGGCCTTCCCAGACATGCCCCAGCCAGCTGTGATTCCCAGCTTTGACTTGGGGGGCGCTCCATTTTCTGTCTCTTCACACCCTCTCATCCGGCTCTTTTGAGGTTTCCCACAAGAAAGGGGAACACTGGGGTCAGGCCTCTTCCACCCTCTCACCTCACAAGCCCCGTGGGTCCTTCCCTCCCCTGGCCGGAGCCACACACAGGGTGATGGTGACACAGCCAGAGGCCTTAGGGCTTCCTGAGACCTGGATGCCCTCTGGAAGCCACATCCAGGCTCTGTTGCCCCGTGGCCCCACGTCTTAGTCACCATGGAGCTGGGAACTCAGCCACGGCCATCCTCTCTGACCTTGGCAGCCCCCTCTGAGGGTCTGGGTCAGAGCTGCCCACAAGGGCAGGACATCCCCAGACGGAGAGAGCCCTGGGGCTGCAGGTCGAGCTCAGTCTTAGCCAGGACTTCCAGCAGCCGGCATTGACCAGCCTTGGCCTGACTTTGGGATTAAGATGCACCCCTGCCCCTTAAATTCTCTCACCCATAGCACTAAAACGGTGACAGCCCTCAGTGCGCCCGGGTTCCAGACGGCACTGGAGGTGTGGAGGTGGTGGGGAGTGGTCCGAGGAGCAGCTTCATGGGGGGGGAGCATGTGACACCCCCTCCAGAAGGCCTGGGGTGGGGGAGGAGCAGACTGCCTTGATGAGGACAGTAGCATCTGAATCCATTCACATCTCAGCTGCAGGCACCGCAGGTGTCCACTGAGGAGGTCTCCTCCCCCACCAGCCACTCAAAGAGATGAGGCTTCACCGCTTGCCATCTCTGCTCACCCTCAGCCCAGCCACTGCCCCGTCTTCCTGGTGGCTGTAGCAGCCATCCCCCCTCTCTCCACTCCCGTCCACTGAGGTATGGCTGGTTCCACGGCCTGGATGTGGGGCCAGGACCGCCAGAGCTCCCAGGAAAGCCTCAGACAGGTCTGCCCCACAAGCCTAGGACTGCCCTGAGAGGCAGTAAGCTCCCTGCACCCTAGGGAGCTGAGTCCACGCTGACCGAGCTACGTCGGGAAGTCTGTAGAGGGGGCTCCTGATCTGGGGAGAGGTCAACCTGCGCGTCAAGACAGAGACCAGGCTGGGCCGTGGACCACACTCATCCCGAGTGTCCTCATGAGATACCACTTCATTAACCCCTATCTTCAAGTATCCATCCATCCACTCATCCATCCATCCATCCATCCACCCATCCATCCATCCACCCACCCACCCACCAATCTTCAAGTATCTATCCATCCACTCATCCACCATCATCCACCCATCCATCCACTCATCAATCCAGTCATCTGCTAACCTATCCACTCACCTGCCCGTACATTCACCCATCCATCCATCCACCCACCCACCCACCAATCTTCAAGTATCCGTCTATCTATCCACTCATCCACCATCTATCATCTTCCCACCCACCCATCCATCCATTCATGCACTTACACATTCACCCATCCATCTACCCATCCACCCACCAATCTGTCATCCAGCTATCCATGCACTTATCTGCCCATCCACCCACCCATCCACCCACCCACCAATCTGCATGTATACATCCACCCACTCATCCACCATCCATCACTCAGCTGCCCTTTGTCATTCACCCATCCACCCACCCACCAATATTCAAGTATCCATCCATCCACCCACTCATCCACCATCCATCACCCACCTGCCCCTTTGTCATTCACCCATCCATCCACCCACCCACCAATATTCAAGTATCCATCCATTCATGCACTCATCCACCATCTATCACCCACCCACCCATCCACTCACCCACCTACCCACCCACCAATCTGCATGTATCCATCCACCCACTCATCCACCATCCATCACCCACCTGCCCTTTGTCATTCACCCATCCATCCACCTGCCCACCCATCCACACATCTATCATCCACCCAGTCATCCACTCATTCCATCCAGAGCAGCCTGCCTTCCAGCCCCCTTCCAAGGCTGTCCTTTCCTCCAGGCAGCCTCAACCATCTCTCTAGATGCCAGCATCTCCTGTCCTCGGCACAGGCAGGAGCTACTTGCTGGCATCCCCATCCACCCCATGGGGCTCCACCACCCACCCCACTGGGTCCAGACAAAGCGCTCGCCAATGGGGGTGGTCCTCGTGGCACACTCACTGGCTGCCTGACCCCTGGCCGGTCTCCATGGCCCTTGGGCAGTGGTCTTTGTCCCATTTACAAAGTGTCCCGCCCTGGCCCGTCTCACGAAGCTACAGAGCCAGGGTCGGGCTCCAGAACCACACCTTCCCGTCTTCTCTTGGCTCTCGCAACATCCTGGGCAGTACGTGGACTGGGCCCTGAGGCCAGCCCGCCCTGCCGCCGCCATCTGGGCCTGCTCCTCCCATGTGCCACCGATGGCGTGGTTTGATTGATTTACCATGACTGCGGTGCCTCCCTCCACACACTGCTCCCTCCCTGTGCTCACTCCCAACCACCAAGACCCGTGCAACCTGCCTCAGCTCCCAAGGCCAGCTCGCTCCCACCCTTGCAGTCACCCTGGAGAAGGGCAGGGCAGGGTCCCAGTGCCCATACTACACATAGGAAACAGGTCTGGAGGGACAAAGGGGTCACACATGGACATAACCTCAAAGCCAAGACCAAAACCCAGGCCCTCCTGGTCCCAGCCCAGAGCTCTCTCCAGCATCCCACCCACTCAAGCTGAGTGGTTCCCATGCCCCAGAGCAAGGCCCAGCCACCCACCACAAACCCTTCATACAGCCATACACCCAGCCTTCCATGTGTTCCCACCTTCCGTCTACCACCCACCCACCTCTTCATCCACCCATTCTTCCACCCATTTATTCCTCTCTACCCATCCATTCTCTCAAACATCCATCCACGCACTCACTTATCTTCTCAACTATCCATCCACCATCCATCCACCTGCCCATCCTCATCTATCCATCCAGCCACCGTGCATTCAACCATCCATCCATCTAGCCATCCGTCTTCCTCTCCTTCTCTCCACCCAGCCATCCACACAGCCACCCATGAGGACCTCAGGCGAAAGAGAAACCAGAGAAGCTGGGGGATGGAGGAGGCCTCTGTGCAGGAGGGTCTGGGGCTGGCCCTACAGGATGTGGAAGACAGGAGGTGGAGGATGGGAGATGGAGAGTGTGCCCTGGAGACATACCTGGTGGGCTGTGGGTGGTGAACAATGTCAGAGAGAGTCATGCCAGACCAGAGGGAGGGCAGGGCCCTGACTGAGGCTTGGTCTGAAGGCCAGTTGGTGGGGAGGGGTCGGCAGTGATGAGGAGGCCAGTCCAGGACCTCATGCCCATGAGCCAGCAGAGGCCTGGCTGGCCAGTGTTACGCCACCCGACACTACCCACCTTCACAGGGTATCTGGCCTGACCTCCCCCTCTGGGCACTGGTGGATACCTACGTCAGGGAGGGAGTCTAGGCACAGAGGAAGCTGGCCTTGGCCCTGGGTGACTTTGAAATCAACCAGACCCAGCCCTGGAAGGAGGGGACATGAAACAGCCTGTGCCTGGCATGGCTACATGCAAGATGGACACCTTGTGGTGCTCCTGCCAAGAGGGGCTGGGACCACCCTGGACCTTTATCTCAGGGCCCCCAAGACTGGGGTCACCATGGCCTGTGTGACCTCCAAGGGCACAGCCAGGACTCGAGGGAAACACCATCTAATGCCAAGGGTGGGTCTGAGCCCATGCACAAAGGGGCAGATTAGCCAACAAGTGAGGTAAGCGTGGGCTTGTGTTTGCTTACTGATCTGTGGTGTATGGTTTCATGTTTTTCACCATGTGGGTACCCCATCCCTGTGGAGGCCTGCCAATGTGAAAAAAGGGCTTGATTCTGTAAGGAGGGATGTGGGGTTGGGAGAGGGACAGACGCCAGCCACACCTAGCAGAATCCATGATGTGGTGAAAACGTGTGAAACCTCACTGCAGATGGGTGAGTAAGCACAAGGAGCCTGAGCTTACCTTGTTTACTGGGTGACCCAACACTGCAAGAAGGGGTTTCTCACCTGAGCACCCCCACCCACCCACCCTGTCCCCCGGCATTGGGGAGCGCAGGCAGAGGGCAGGGCAGGTGACCCATGGCCTGCAGGGAGGGCCAGTGTCCACCCTCCACCAGCTGCCGCTCCTGACTGGGGCAGCCGGTTGCCCCGCCACCACCCAGGAGTGGGTGCCTGAGGGCCTGGGTATAAATCTTCCAGGCCGGCGTGTCTCAGCTCCCGAACTCCAAGGATGGCTTGGAGCTGGGCTGTGCTGTCCCTGCTGCTCCTGGCAGCCTGGAGTGTGGGTCCAGGTAAGTGGGCTGCAAGTCGGGCTTGTGCCTACCTCCAGGCCTGCTGCCCACTCCTCAGGGGGGTGGGGCTGTTGGGGGTCTCCTCCCCCTCATCCTGAAGAAGCCAAGCCAGGGGTCAGCACCCCACTCTCCAGGGAGGAATCTGAGGCTGGAGCCATTCAAACAGCCGGGCAGGCAGGATCTCGGCTGGGCCAGGGCGCACCTGCCTGGACAGGTGTGTGTCAGAGGTGCAGACAAAGCACAGTGGGGCCAGGCCCAGCCACTGGACCCCACGGCCTCCCCCGGAAGCCCTGCCCCCAGCCCCGGTGGCCAGGTGCTGAGGGTCTGCACCCCCCCCACCCAGGTGCCGCCTTCAAGTGCTACACCTGTGAGACACCCACGGCTATGTCCTTGTGCAAAAAGATTACTTACTGCAAGCGGGGGGACACGGCCTGTAAGACCACCCTGGAGACGGTGGAGTCGGGTGAGGCTGGGCCCCCAGCAGGAGCAGGGTCACCCTGGAATGCCCCCTCTCCTTCCAGGGGCCCGTGACCGCACCTGTCCAGCCCTCTCAGGAGGTGCCCTGGAGGTGGGGGGCAGGACAGGCACAGAGGTGCAGGACCCCACTGGGAGCCCCACCCTGGCTCTGCCCCAGCCTCTGGCCTTGCTCTCAGTCCTGCAGTGCCGGCGTCACTAACTGCCTCGCAGATGGAGGAGGAGAAGGGGCTAGGCCACCTCCCACATCCTGGCCTGGAGGGGTGGGGCGGGCAGAGCTAGCAGGTCAGGGGGCGGGCAGAGAGGGGAGAGGCGTGGCAGGGCGCGGCCAGCGGGGCTCTGATGCAGGTGCCCCCACAGAGTACCCCTTCAACGGGAAGCCCATGGTGACCCGCTCCTGCTCCAGTTCCTGCCAAGCCAGCGACCCCGACGGCATCGGCGTGGCCCACCCGGTCTACTGCTGCTTCCACGACCTCTGCGGCCCAGCACTGGTGGTCACACACAGCACCAGGCCACACTGGGAGCCGCGCCCCTCAGGCCACGTGTGGGGCGGGCGGGGAGAGGCCCACTCAGGAGAACCCTCTGCCCCGCACCCCCTGAACTCCTAGGCAATATGGAGGCCGGGGTGTGGGCGCCGTCCTTCCTGGGCGCCCTCAGAGGAGCTGGGCCGAGTCTCCTCAACCCCCAGTCACCCCGGTCTCCTGGGCCCATTCCACAGGTGTGAGGACTGAGTCTCGGGGAGAAGTGTGCCCCGTTCCTCAGCCCTGAGAAAACCTGCCCCGCACAGCCTGCCTCAAACCCTGGAGGTATCACCCCACCTAGCCGCTGGAAAAGGAGCTCGGAGCTACCCTGGCGTCCTTCCAGGCTCTGCCCCCACCCTAGGTCTTCTCTGGGGTGAGGTGGCATCCCTCTGTGGGCACCCACCCCCACACGGCGCCAATCCCCACCTGCCGAGACACCTGGACTAGATGCTTGTGTCCACCCATCCCGTTCACTACAGGACGGACGGGCAGGACCCCAGGTCTGGTCGCTGGAGCTGGCTCTACCAGCGCTATCTGCTGACCCCACGCCCCCCGGAGCCCAAAGGCCTTAGGATCCTGGAAGCCCGGCATTCGGACTCCTGCCGCCCCCTCGATGGGCCCCCGGCTGCCCCTATCAGCACATGGAGCGGGGCGAGCCGCCCTCAAGCACCCTGCCCCCTGGGTACCGGTGGGCACTCTCAGCCCCTGACCCTGGGTCTCGCTGGCCCCTGCAGGGCTTAGTGGGAGTGGGAAGCAGCAGGCAGGGCCCAAGGGGCAGGGCCAAGCCCCTCAGGACCCCGTGAGAGCACAGCCCCGTCTGGGAAGGGCCAGCGGAATGAACACCCCGGGAGCAGCCGCTCTGCCTGGCCTGGCACCATACCCGCAGCTCCCCCAAGGAACCCTGCGTCTGGCCAGCACAGCACCAAGGCCCCGCCTCTTCCGAGGAGCAGACGGGGCTCCCCGCCTGCACTGCTCCACGTGACCAGCAGAGGGCGCCTGCGTCCCCAGCCGGCGGCGTCCATCCCTGCCAAGCCTCCCCACACGGCCCCCTCCGGTTCAGGCAGTGCTCACTTCCCCGTCCTCCTGGGGAGAGTGGAGCTGCCCCAACCTCTGCTGGGAGCCCCCAGCCGCCCTGGAGCGGCAGCAGGGAGACCAGGAAGCCCGCTGGGGGCTGACTGGCACTGGGGGCACCTGGGAGGGTCCGAAAAGGAGGACGACGGAGAACTGCTGTGTACCCGCCCCTCCCCAGGGCTGCCTGGGCAGTAAAGGAGAAACCTACTTCAGGGGAGGGGCAGTGGACAGCCACCACATCCCGCACCCCCATGCCCAGGGAGCAGGGCCCAACGTGAGGGTGGGGGGCTGTGAGGAGCAGCACCTCGCCTTGGGACACACGATACCCCAGGTGGGACACGCCCTGCTCGAGCCTCAGTTTCCCCCTCCATGAGGTGGGTTATGCCAGCAGCTCCAAGGAGCTCTAGGGCTGGACGCGAGGTGGGGTGCAAGGGGGACCTGCGTGCCTGGGTCCCGAGGGGGATGGGGCAGCTGTCAGCCTCAGAGGAGACCCAGCGGGTGGCTGCTCTAGTTCTCATGGCCAAAGGCCATCAGGCCTCCACAGGCACCCGCCAAGGGACCCCTGCTGGCCCCCTCTCCCAGGACGGCCCCCTCCACCTGGCTGTCCTCTGGGATCATCTCTGGCCCTGACCCTCCCCACGACTGGGACCCGTGGTGGGCGTGTCCGGGTCTGCACTGCCTCCCTGCTGGGCACGCCCCTCTGGTGAACCAGGGAAGAGAACCCTGGCCCAGCCACCCGCCGTGGGGCCCTGCTCCCTGAGTCCTCTGGCTCTGGGTGGCAGCCGGCCTGGCACAGAGGCTCCGGACCCCAAGAAGCAGAGCCTGACGCCTGGGAAGTTGCCCCTGGGGGGCGTGTGGGCTCAAGGGCTCAGGGAGGTGGGGTCCGGGCCAGCTCTGGTCTCATTCCCTGCCCTCCTGTCCCGAAGCAGCCCGGTTCCACACTGACGCCCCTCCAGAACGCTCCAATTTAACGTCCTTTAATCGTCCACTTTCTTAAATAAACAAAGATTGCAGCTTTCCATGGCGGCCGTAAGGCAGAGCTCGAGCAGCCTGGGAGCAGGCGTCACCGGCAGCCACGGGGCCCCTGAGGGACAGCAGGGAGGCGGCTCCGAGCATCGAGGGGGCCGGCGGGGCGAGGCGGGCAGGGACAGGCGGACACAGCCCTGAAGAGTCACACATACACAGGCATGCCATGACCCCAACCCAGGGTCCCCCAACCTCGGGGCCCCTCCCCAGAATTGAGGGCACAGGGCACCGGGCAGCGCCCTGTGGGGGGCTGCCGCTGAGGCTTGCTCTCCCTGGCCTTGGTCCCTGCTGTCAGTGAGGCCCCAGACAGGAACAGGCAGCCCAGGACTGATGTCCCCACTGGCCAGTTGACAGCAGCTGCCAAGCAGGGCACAGGGGTACAGCAGGGGGCACAGAAGACCCTACCCCAACCCTGGCCCGCCCAGGGGGCCAGCCCGTGGGAGCAGGAAGTGGTGCACAGCGGGGCAGGTGACGAGCAGGGAAGGAGAGAGGGCAGGGGGGTGGCAGGTCTGAGAGGGCAGGGCCCAGCCCGGGAGTCCACTGTGCAGCCCGGGGACTTGGGAGACACCTCCTCAGCCCCTGCACAGGAGCCCTGACCCCAGCACCCCCTTGGTCACCTTCCCTGTCCTCCCAGGAGCTTGCCAGAGCAGAGGAACCAGTGCTGGGGGCCATCCGCCCCTCAAGCCCTGCCATGAGCCTACCCCGGCCCCAGTGGGTCACTAGACTCCTCCTGGGCGCCCCCCCCCACAGAAATGCTGCTTTACCCCACATCGGGTGAAGAGGCCCCAGGCCTGCTCTGGTCCCACCTCTGCCACCGGCCCGTCGGCCAAGAGACACCCCGCTCCCTCCTCGCTCAGCCCCATCGGCACGCAGGGCCACCCTCCCACTGGCCCCTCTGCTCCCGGTGTGAGGGCTCTGGGCATCTCCACCTGGACTGAGCTGGTCAGGAGACCCTCCACACCGTCACCCCTGCCCAGGGTGGGGCCTGGCACAGAGGGGTGTCCAAACGCAGGGCCCTGCGGGCACGGCCCCAGGCTGGGCTGAGCAGGCGTGGAGCAGGGTGGTGGTCACTGGTCCTTGTCGTCAGTGCTGAGCCCGCTCTCGGCTCGGAGCAGCTGGCTGCTGGCCTCGTTGTAGGCAATCCAGTGTCGCAGGTCCTCCGGCAGCTCCGGAGGGTCCACCTGGCGGCAGGTGAGGTTCCTGAGGCCGCCTGCAGGGCAGGGGTCAGCAGGGGCCCCCTGCGTACCTCACCTTCCTCCATCAGACCTTGCTCTCTGTGGGCCTTGCCCCTTCCAGGATACCCCTCCCCCAAACCAGGCCCTTCTGCCCTGCAGCCCCCCTTCCAGGGACTCCGCCTCCCCCGAGGGGCCAGCCTGAGGCCTGAGCCCAAGGATGTGCTACTAGCTGCAGGGAGAGGACAGAGGGGACGACAAGTGGCTCCGAGGACCCTCAGTGCCCAGCCCTGAGACCTCAGGACATGCCTCACACGTCTGCTGCGAGGGGCTGGATGTGAACTTCCGGTTAGCTCTGACCACCCCACTCCTGCCTTCCTCCCCACAGACTCAGCCAGGTCTTTTGACAAGTGACAAGTGGGGCTCCAGGTTGGGCCAAGGGAGGAAGAGAGGGGAGAGGCCTAGCAGAAGCCCACCCTACCCCAGGCATCAGGGAGTCTGGGAGCAGAGTGAGTGGCCCTCACTACAGATGGGCGGGGCCAGCGCCCGGCACACAGCAGCCCTCGAAGTGTGCAGGGCCTAGGCATTGGGACACCCAGGGTGGTCTCTGACCTCCACCTAGACCGCCCACGTGGCACATTCAAGGTGTGGAAGTCCCACCCCTTGACACCTGTCTGCCCCTCCCCTGGAGCTCAGACCCTGCCAGCAGGCCCAGGCCTGACCACCCCGAGTGTCCCCCAAAGAAGAGCCAGTGTCCCTCCAAGAAGAGCCACCCTGGATGCCTAGTCTCCAGTCAAGTGCCAGCTGCCTGCCTGGAGGAGGCAGCCCCTTCCTGAACTCCCGTCACATGATGTGACCCACAGAGCCCAGCATCCGCACCTGCAGGTGTGTGGCCCCTGCAGGTGTGTGGCAGGGATCCAGGCCCTTCCAGGGGGTCCAGGCCCTTCTGCCCTGACACAGGAAACTGGGAGCTGTGCCTGCCCCACTGTGCACCCCCTCTCTGAGCCTCAGGCCCCCACCTCTGAGCGGAGGGTAAGGCTAGCCCCGACACGGAGGTGAGGCTTGAATCACCCCTCTGTAAGGCCGCTCTGTCTCAGCCAGAGAGCAGTGCCCTGGCAGATGTCACTCCAGGGGTCAGGCTCCTTAGGGACCCGCCCGCACAGATGCCTGCCCTGGTAACCATCTTGGCTGCACCCTGGCCTCCCCAGGGCCCGGTTGCCATGCCTCAAGAGCCAACTCCGCAGCGCTGGGAGAAGCAGGCCTTGTAGCCCTAGCAGCCACTTGGTCCTCTCCGGGAGAAAGGCAGAAAAAACGGCAGTCTCCTGGCCTCCATACTCCTCCCCGCGGTGGAGTGATGGAAAATGCAGCCCTTGCACTGCGCTCCCCTTCCCAAACCTATGCTCAGGAGCAAGGACCAGAGAGCGTGGCTCAGCGCTCTAGCACACAGCAACACTAAGCCGTCGTGGGAGAGATCAGGGTCCACTTTGCAGTTTACAAAGAAGGGGAAGGAGCAGGGAGTGGCAGGGAGAGACAGGGCGGTCCAGGCTGTTAGGAGAAAGCGTTAGGAAGCGTTAGGAGGAAAGGCTGCTAGGGCAGCCTGGGAAGAGTTGATCTGGGGACCCAAAGAACTCCCAGGAAAGAGCAGAGAGGGGGCCCTGACCCAAGGCCCTTGGTCCGGAGGCAAGGGCGGGCCACCATGGGGCGGGAAGGGCCCTCCGGAGGAGGCTGGGGTGGCTCACCTTGCGTTTGCACAGGTGCTGGACGACGCGCTCGGGCGAGGTGCCCAGAACGTGCTGGCGGGAGCGCAGCAGCGCGCACACGAAGCCGTCGCGCAGGCTGACGAAGCGCGCCTCCATGTAGAAGGCGCGGTCGTCCCAGCCCAGCAGGCGGCTGCGCACCTCGAAGGGTTCGAGCAGGCGCAGCGAACGGCGGTAGCGCACGCACGAGGCGGCCAGCACGGCGCGCGCCCCGAGCGCGCGCAGCGCCCCGAGCACGCCGCAGCGGGTCAGGTGCGCGGTGCGCGCCACATCGGCCTCGCGCAGGTAGCGCGCGTTGTTCATGTGCAGGAGCAGGTCCAGGTCGGAGGGCAGCACCCGGCCGGCGAAGCACTGCTCGGCCAGTAGGTCGCGGACGGGCGGCTGTAGCAGGCGCGCGCGCAGCACGGCGCACGGCACGCGCACCAGGTACCAGCCGTCCAGCAGCGCGAAGTAGGCGAGCGCTAGGGCCAGGAGGGCCACCAGCAGCCACACCA